ATATATATATATACACGTGTGTGTTTTATATATTATTTATGAATCAGGATTTATTGACACCGGATATAAATCTAAAACACTTATATCAAATTTTATGCTTTTAATAATTTTTTTCCATAATATAAATTTAACTAATTCAATTATTAAATCATGTGATATTATACACAAGATCATGTATGTTAAATTTCACATGATTTACACTTTTCTAAATCCGATTTTTAAAAATGAATATTTACACGTTTTAAACATCATATTATATGTTAAAATAAAATAATATAATGAAATACTAAATAATTTTTGAATTATGTAAAATTTGATATACTTAATCTTGATTATAATATCACATAATTAAACGATTGAATTAGTTAAATTTGCATTATATAAAAAAATATTAAAGATATAAGATTTGATATAATTGTTTAGAGTTACACTCAGTGTGTCAATGGATCTAACTCATTTTTTATATATTATGTAATTTAAGTTGTATTTATTTAATTTCATTTTTAAATATTTGATTAATGTATATCTTTATTTCAATGTAAAAATTATACATATATATATATATATGTATATATATATATATATATGTATATATATATATACACATATACACACATCATAATATCTCTTTTTAAAATAGTAAATATATAGTTGAGTTTCATCTTTTCAAGTATCTCTCACTTTCACTCTCACTCCCCGTCTTCCTCTCTCACTCTCCATCTCTCTTGCTCTCTCTCTTAATCTCTCTCCCTCTCCTTCTCTCTTCCCATCTCTCTCCCTCTCATATTTCTATTTATCTCTCTATTTATTGTATCTCATTATTTTTTAACCTTATCAATTTTAATAATATTATTAAAATCTATTTTATTTCTATAATTTAATGATATTTTTAACACTTGTTTATTTAATTTTTTTTGGATGAAATGAAATAATATATTTTAATCCTTCTTAATTATAAGGTAGTAGTTTTCTTTATTTATTTCTTTTTGTTGAATTATGTATTTAAATAACTTTAACTATAAATTTTTAACTTTTTGAAATAGTTTAAGTTTTATCAAATACAAATATTATTATATGAAAAGATGTGTTTATATATGTAATTAACTTTTTATTATCTTCAAAAAAGTAATTAGATCTTAAAAAAAAGTTTAATGTTATATTTGTAATAAGATTTGAGCAAATAAAATATATCCAATGTGGTTATTTTGATAAAGAATATTTTTGTAAAAATATGTATATACCCAAAAATATGTTATTCTAACCAAATATGAAAATCTTTAATTCTTGAAAATTTTATATGAATATTCTCATGAATCTTTATGAGTAACTAAACAAATTTTTATCTATTCCCAGAAATCATAATTTCCAAGATTTGTAATTACTAGGAATCATGATTCATCAGTATGAAAAAATTTCTCTCCTACTAAATGTCCCCTGAGCATTACAAAGTACTAGTCTCAAACATTGTAGTGGACTTCCCAAGTATAACAAGTGTCTTCCATCTTAACAACACGAGAAGGTTGAATGTAACAAGTGTTTTGATGCAATCATGCCTAGGGACCAAGTCTACAAGGAGTCAAGAAGAGTAGACTAGACATAAAAAAAGGAAGACCTAAGCTCATGTTGAGCTTTAGGTTTTAATAATAATTCATTTTTTCTTGATTGTAAATATTTCTTTTATTTTGATCTTGTATTTTGGGTCAATTAGAATAAGAATTTATTTTCTTGTAACTTTTTAGGGGTATACCTAGTATTCTTGGGGGTGCAACTAGAAATTGAAAAATGTACTAATTAGATTTGTTTAGGCCAAGAAAGCGAAGAGAACATTTTTTTTTCCTTGAGTGGTACATCCACTTTGGAGTTCCTACTCCCCCTAGCTTTATAGAAGCCTACCTAGCTACATGTTCGATACATAGTCACGCCTTCTATATGTTTGCTTCTATACCTTTTTTCTTACCTCCACGCCCTTTTATCACACCTACCACACCTTGCCACACGTTTTTTTCTCATTAGCTAGTGTGGATCTAATGATTATGGAGTCTAAATTCAAATTCTAATTTGAAATTCTAATTTAGACAATCATGGTTAGTTAGCTTGAGTACAAATTAACTAAATTATGGTCTACTTGATCATAGTTTACTTAACTTGTACCACAAGCTAACCAAGCTGATATATAGGTGTCTCCTCCATGTAATTCATTACTTTAGAGCATATAAGAATGAAAATGGAGTTTTTCTCTCAACTTTTAAGAGTCTTTGAGTTCCTTTTACATACAACCTTGAAAAAGATACATTGGGAGACAAATGTAGGAGGAACAAAGCATTTGTTGTAGGAGTAGCTTTTTGCTCGTCACATAGAGGTACAACATGTGTTTTGTCCTTTAATGCCAAGTAGAAGTGAAAACATTGATACAACTATCCTTGTACAGTGTGGGTTTTCATATTACCCCTTTTGGATATGCATTTATAAAATGTTGTTTTTAGTCATATTAGTATAACTAACACAAAGACAACTTTCTTTTCTACATAAAACAAAATAAGAATTTTTTTTCTTCTTAAAACTATGTATATGTTAGTTGCATGGATAAATATACAATATGATATAATATTCATACATTTTTTGAGTTCATCATACTAAGCATGTATATTCCAACACTTAGAATATAAACAAGAATAAATAATTAGGCGTTTAGCTATTAAAAACTATTAAATGGTCTAGTGAAACTTGTTAGAAAATAATGAATGAGAGTATTGTATCATGAAACTAGTCACTGTCCTAAAAGCAAACTAAAAAAGCACTCAAGGTTTACACATAGTTTATACAACATCATGTTTGAACTCATTCAATATAAAAAGTAATAAAGATAAAGCAACATGGAGTTATTGGGAGCAAAAGAATGGTTAAAGAAAAAAGGGTAACAAAGAAAAACAGAGTGATCGAATAAGAGAGTAAGCATAAAAGAATCTTTTTTCAAAAGAAAAATAAATAAATTAAAAGAGTATATAGAGAACTGATTTTATTTTAAAAAATAATGAGGTGTATTTATTAATAAAAGCAAGTGTAACTTGCCATTCAATGACATTCATATATTAAAGAAG